GCAAAATGGCTGTCTGAGGAAGCTTTGCAAATAGCTGAGGAAAGAAGGGAAGTGAAAGGCAAAGGAGAAAGAGAAAGATACACCCAATTGAATGCAGAATTCCAGAGAGTAGCTAGAAGAGATAAGAATGCCTTCTTAAATGAACAGTGCAAAGAAATAGAAGAAAACAACAGAATAGGGAGGACCAGAGATCTCTTCAAGAAAATTGGAGATATGAAGGGAACGTTTCATGCAAAGATGGGCATGATAAAGGACCAAAATGGCAGAGACCTAACAGAGGCAGAAGAGATTAAGAAGAGATGGCAAAACTACACAGAAGAACTATACAAGAATGAGCTTAACATCCCAGATAACCACAATGAGATGGTCATTGACCTCGAACCAGACATCCTAGAATGTGAAGTGAAATGGGCCTTAGAAAATCTGAGCAACAACAAAGCTAGTGGAGGTGACAGTATTCCAGCTGAGCTATTCAAAATCTTAAAAGACGATGCAGTAAAAGTGCTACACTCAATTTGCCAGCAAATTTGGAAAACTCAACAGTGGCCACAGGATTGGAAAAGGTCAGTTTACATTCCAATTCCAAAGAAAGGCAATGCCAAAGAATGTTCAAACTATCGCACCATTGCACTCATTTCACATGCTAGTAAAGTTATGCTTAAAATCCTACAAGCTAGACTCCAGCAGTATGTGGATCGAGAACTACCAGAAGTACAGGCAGGATTTCGAAGAGGCAGAGGAACTAGAGATCAAATTGCCAACATACGCTGGATCATGGAGAAAGCTAGGGAGTTCCAGAAAAACATCTACTTCTGCTTCATTGACTATGCAAAAGCCTTTGATTGTGTGGATCACAACAAATTGTGGCAAGTTCTTAAAGAGATGGGAGTACCAGACCATCTCATTTGTCTCTTGAGAAACCTATATGCGGGTCAAGAAGCAACAGTGAGAACCGAACACGGAACCACTGATTGGTTCAAAATTGGAAAAGGAGTCCGGCAAGGCTGTATACTGTCGCCCTGCCTATTTAACTTATATGCAGAGCACATCATGAGAAAGGCAGGGCTAGATGAATCAAAAGTTGGAATTAAGATTGCCGGGAGAAATATCAACAACCTAAGATATGCAGATGATACCACTCTAATGGCAGAAAGTGAAGAGGAACTAAAGAGCCTCTTGATGCGGGTGAAGAAGGAGAGTGCAAAAGTTGGCTTGAAACTCAACATTAAGAAAACCAAAATCATGGCATCCGGCCCTCTCAATTCCTGGCAAATAGATGGGGAAGAAATGGAGGTAGTGACAGATTTTATTTTTCTGGGCTCCAAGATCACCTCAGATGGGGACTGCAGCCAAGAAATTAAAAGACGCTTGCTCCTGGGGAGGAAAGCTATGGCAAATCTAGACAGCATACTAAAAAGCAGAGACATCACCCTGCCAACAAAAGTGCGTATAGTCCAGGCCATGGTTTTCCCAGTTGCAATGTATGGCTGTGAAAGTTGGACCATAAGAAAGGCTGAGCGCAAAAGAATTGAGGCCTTTGAACTATGGTGCTGGAGAAGACTCCTGCGAGTCCCTTGGACTGCAAGGCGTTCAAACCGGTCAGTCCTAGAAGAGATCAACCCCGACTGCTCTTTAGAAGGCCAGATCCTGAAGTTGAAACTCAAGTACTTTGGCCACCTAATGAGAAGGAAGGATTCACTGGAGAAGAGCCTAATGGTGGGAAAGGTTGAGGGCAATAGAAGAAGGGGACGACAGAGAATGAGATGGCTGGATGGAGTCACTGAAGCAGTAGGTGTGAATTTAAATGGACTCCAGAAGATGGTAGAGGACAGGAAGACCTGGAGGAATGTTGTCCATGGGGTCGCGATGGGTCGGACACGACTTCGCAATTAACAACAACACAAACATTTGATGGATTATTGTGGTGAAAAAAAATAATACTGGATCTCTGGGACTGAGTCCACATAAAATCTCCTGGGTTCTCATATAGACAAACTACATATGGTCTTAACTGTTGTGCCTGCAGCTAAGTTGCAGTTACTTCCTTAAACTTGAGATTGAAAGGATTATTTTCAAACTCTTAATGGACACAAAATGGGGAGTTATCTTTTCCCTTCTCAGTTATGATCTTCCCAAAGCATGGCTGGCTCAGGGATTCTGGGAGTTGAAGTCCATGTTTCATAAAAGAGCCAAGGTTGCCTACGCCTGGACTAGACAGTCACTTGTCTGAGATGGTACAGGGTCTCCTGCTTGAGCAGGGGGTTGGACTAGAAGAGGGGTAGGCAACCTTGGCTCTTTTATGACTCATGGACTTCAACTCCCAGAATTCCTGAGCTGACATGGCTCAGCATGGAAATCTCTCCATTTCTCCTCAGCATGGCTGGCTCAGGAATTCTGGGAGTTGAAGTCCACATTTCATAAAAGAGCCAAGTTTGCCTACCTCTGGGCTAGAATCAGAGAACTGTAGGGGCACAGTGGTTAGACTGCAGTATTGCAGGCTAACTCTGCCCACTGCCAGGAGTTCAATTTTGACTGGCTCAAGGTTGAATCAGCCTTCCATCCTTTTGAGGTTGGTAAAATGAGGGCCCAGAATATTGGGGGCGATATGCTGATATTGTAAAATGCTCAAAGAGTACTGTGAAGCACTATGGATTGGTATATATGTCTAAGTGCTATTGCCTTTAGAAGAAAAAGAGATAATGTCTCCTAAGGAACTGTAGATTTTTTTCTTTTTTACAATAGACTATGCTCAGCTCATTTCTTGGATAAATCTTTTCTTCATTTGGTTCCTCCAGGACACTGTATTCTTGACTTCTTTCAGTAGAACCTGTGATATCCACACACTAAATTATTAAAGATTAATTCTCTCCATCTGTTAACATTTTATCTCTCCAACTTGTCTTTTATTTAGAATCTCCCTTTTTTTTTTCTGTATGAGCATCATTAGCAAATCTCTCCTGTCTCCCTGGATGATGGTAGAATGGTTTCCAATCCATATTTAAATGGAGAAGAGAAGCTTTGGAAACTGGGTTTGGCAACATGGAACCCAGGGCTCATCAAATTAAGCTGTTTTGCTTGTCACACTCTTTTGTTTCTTGGTCACCATCTATTCAAATAAAGCTTCACACAAAAGACCTGCCTAAGGGGCCTGAATCTCTTGAACCATAAAGGTGGGGAAATAAATATCACGGCTAGGAATAAAAACCATCCATCAGAGAGCTCAGTAGCTCCTGACAATGAGAGAGGTGTGAATCTCTCCTAAAAATAAATGTAAAAATGTCAGGTGCTACAGCTCTCTATAATGCACAGTGAAGCATGCCATAAAATATTACTTTGTCTCTCTTTTCCTGACATGCTTGGGTTAAGGATTTCTTTTTCCCCTCTTCTGGATGGGAACATTCACTCTTGCAGCTTTGCTTTTAAGAGGTGAAAGGAAAATTCATTTTATTTCCAGAAGATCGGAGACTAGCATTGTGTCTGAATGTGCGTGTGTCAGTGTGTGCTTTAATGGAAGCTGAAATTGGCCTTTAAATGGGCATTCAGTTTAGCTTATTCACCGTTCAGATTAAGAAAATGGATATTTACTTGGCAGCTGCCTACTTTTTTTTTTTTTTTTAGAATAAAAAAGTCAATTGGCCTGCCATTGGCAGGGGAGCAGGAACTAGCAGGCTCATGATTGAGAAGCTAGATGGAAATGGGGAATTTGGCCTGCTAATGATGGAGAGTTTAGGTGGGAATTTGACTTATTTGTGAGTCGGCCTAGATGGAATTTGTCTTACTATGATTCAAATGGAAGGGTGTAATGGGAAATTTAACTGGCTATGATTCAGAGGCTAAATAAAATTCAGCTTACCTGTGACTCAGACACAAGCTCAAATGGAGGAAATAGGCTTATTAATGATTCATATAATAAATCCTTTCCACTGTGCCACCTTGAGATGTTATGTTAGCCTTAGACTTTCAATGTCCTCTGAATATCACTGTGCATAGTTTAATAATGCATAGAAAAGGTCCCTTGTTCAGTTCTTATAATTTCCAAGTAAACTTATTTTAGAAAGTAAAGTTAAGAGAGACCTTTCTTTTCCTGAGATTGTTTGTAGAGCAGCGGTTCTCAACCTGTGGGTCGTGACCCCATTTGGGGTTGAACAACCATTTCACGGGGGTCACCAAACAACACGATCTGCCATATTTTTTCGTCAGCCGGCGCAGGGGGTGGCGCCGCACATGCGCGCTGCGCAGGGGGTGGAGCAGGGGACGGTGCCGCGCATGCACACCACGCAGGGGGTGGAGCCGTGCATGCGTGCCATGCAGGGGGCGCTGCCGCACATGCGTGCCGCACAGGAGGCGCCGCCACGCATGCGTGCCGCGCAGGGGGCGGCACCGCGCATGCGCGCCGCCTGCTTATGACCACCATCGCCGTATAAAAAGGTTGAGAACCACTGTTGTAGAGGATCTTTTCAGTGGCAATAAACAACTCTTGGTACGATCAGGAGGACTAAAGCTAAGAAATAAAGGCTGTACATAACTGGTCAGCATCTGAAGGCAGAAAATGAAATAACAGGCGGAAGATTATTAAAGAGAGATCAATCTAGAACTAGGGAGAAATTTCCTGACAGAACAATTAATCAGCAGAACAGCTTATCTCCAGAAGCTGTGGCTGCTCCATAACTGGAGGTTTTCAGGAAGAGATTGAACAGGCATTTATCTGAAAAGGCACAGGGTCTCATGTTTGAGCAGGGGGATAGATTAGAAGACCTCCAAGGTCCCTTCCAATTCTATTATTCTATGTTTGATATTCTATTTGTTCATTTAAAAGATGGATAAACTAGGATCCCTTTCCTTCCTTTTTGTATAGACTAGCAATACAGTCATGATACACTGATGGTGATTTTCTACAGCTGTTAATCTGTTCCAAGGGAAGATGGATATTCTAGCTTCTAATGTCTCCTTTCAAGACTGACTCTTTTGTTTGTCTCTTCTTTGCTTTGATTTTCTACTAGGTCTGTCAAAATCCTTGGGGCTTATTGAAGGCTACGGTGGTCGTGGCAAAGGTGGCTTGCCTGCCACTCTTTCTCCAGAGGAGGAAGAAAAAGCCAAGGGACCCCACGAAAAATATGGCTACAATTCCTATCTCAGTGAGAAAATATCATTGGACCGCACCATACCAGATTATCGTCCAACTAAGTAAGTCTGAGATTTTCTACCAGAGAGGAGGAACAATTCTACTATTTGATATTGGGATAAGGTGGGCCAAAGTTTAAGGACAGAGTGGTCTGCCTCTGATCCAGGTCTCTTAAAAGCAAATTAGTTTCAGTGATAGAGCTACTTCATGTGATCTGCAAAGCCTTGATGACCAGCAGATACTTGGAAGAGAGATACAAGAGAATAGCTGATTGCCCTTCCCATTGCTTGATATGTGGAATGTGAAAAGATGTCATATTTTTTTTAATCTCATTTTTTTCCAGCAACAATGGCTACATGCAAAATCATTGGTTTGAAATGCCATTTTGATTTGGTCTTAGGTTTCTGCTTATACTGAGTGTTTTCCCAATAATAGACTTGGACCCATGCTGAATCTTCTAGTTATTGCACAAAGATCAGTGCACCAAGTGTGACCATACTAATATAGTGATGGTGATGATAATTGTAATACTGATTATGAGCAGGTAAAAGAATATGAAGTAAATCTTGTTGTTGTTGTTGTTGTTATTGTTATTGTTATTCTTCTTCTTCTTCTCCTCCTTCTTCTCCTCCTCCTCCCCTCCCCCCTCCTCCTTCTCTGGTTTGGGGACACATTAATATCAGTCAACCCCTAGTTTAAAATTCCAAAATGTTGGGCTCAGGAACCCCCTGGGGACAATCTGTCCATCTGGTGTAGGCATCCAGAGAAGATCTGATGAGGCTCTTCTATCCTTGTGAGATCATAATGTATGCACTATGCAACAGACCTTCTGAGCTTCAGCCACTACTTCCCACTTAGAAGACTATCCTCCTAGAAATATGTATGCCCCTACTTAGAATTCAAAAAGAAATTAAAGCCTGCTGGATTGAGCGCACCAATGGTCCTTAGCTAACCTTCTTGCAGTCTGTGTTTCACTGTTTTTCTTTGTTTTTGCTATGGTATATTTATCTTCTTGTTACTTGCCTAGAATCTCCTGGTGTGGAAGGTCTGCATTCCAGAGAGCAAAGAGGCAGCAAATCATGGACAGTTTGGTCTGGAGAAAGAGGGTTTTTTTAACCTAAATGTTGGGCTCCTCCCCAGCAATTCCCAGAGTACATCTATAGTTATGCTAATAGTTGCTTTGGTTTGGCAAGATTCTGTCTAAAGGTATGGAACAATGAAGGAAACTGCTTAGAAGTAATTCCACGTGTCTTTCCTGGTCTTTGGGAGTGTTAGCCATAAATGTCTGCAAGATTCTTTAGCAGTGGTGGGATTCAAATACCTGAACATCCGGTTCTCTGCGTAGATGCAGGCCTGAGCCTCCGAGGCCTAGAATGGACTTCCAGAAGTGACATCCAACCATTTTCAGTGGGCCATCCTAGGCCTAGGAGACCTCCTCCAGGCCTTCAAGGCCTAGAACGGACTTCCAGAAGCAGCATGGGTTTGGCCAGTTCTCTGAACTCAACAAAATTTAGCTATCGGTTCTACCAAACCGGTGCAAACCGGCTGAATCCCACCACTATCCTTTAACCAAGTGTGCCTTGCTTGGATTCAAATTGGATTTGAATTGTAGGCTAGAAGAAGTTGGAAGCAACTTAGAAAGTCAGAATCACTTTATATACAGTTCAGACATGCTGTATTTAGAATGAGCTCTTTTATTGTTTAGTATCATCTGACTCATCTGTGATAGAGCATGCACAGTAACACTATATGCATCGTGTAACATTTCATAACATCCTTAAAACTTTTAGTGTGATCTTATTAATGTTCATCCTCATATTCAGTAGGTGTGGCGTTTACATTATAATGAGGCATAATAATTTTGCAAGTTAGTAGAGTTCAAATCTATGTATAGTCCTTGTCTTTAGAAGGTTTGAACCAGTTCTTATCAGACTCCACATTTCCCATGGAGAACTTGCTTGTTATGTCAAAGAACTAGTATCGTTAATCAAAGAAATTCCTACTTACTGAAAACATTACTCAAAGAGGCCTCTGTCTCTCTCTGCTCTGGGGAGGGGGGGCGGCTGACAGCTGGCATAGGAACTGGATAAAAATATTGGAAAGTATTAGTAAAGTAAGTGAAGAGATTCACAATTGCTTTATGGCTTCCCAATCTAGTGCATTTTTGGAAAACCCATGTTAGTATCTATAGCAATGGGCACAAAGGCATGAACGCCCCAGAGGTCATTAGTTGCAGATGGAGCATCAGTAGTTTCTTGGTGTGGTTTATGGAAATGCAGAAGCTTTTCTCAAATTGAAATGGGGCAAAGGATCCTTGAGAAAGAGTCTACTGGGTCTCAGAAAAGCAGGTTGAGAAGTCCTTGGAGAGCCACAGCCTCAACAACATATCCAAGGATGTCAAACAGCTTTACCTATTGAGTTCAGTGTAGCTGACTGATCAAGAGAGGTACTTTGCTCCAAGCATCTGTATATTTCATCTTAACACAACAACATAGACCTTGAATCACAATTTCTTTTCCTCAAACGTGGAAAGGAATAACTTTTGTTTAACCTCATAAATGTTTTAAAATGACACTGGCAGCCTCTCTTCCTATTCAAACTGAGTCTTGAGTGGCTGTCATTCTGATCTTTTTTTTTTTTTCAATGTGTAGATCATCTCCCCAAAGGTGAGATTAATGCACAAACACATCTCATTGTTTGGATCAGTGCTGATGTCAACAGTGGATCTCATTCTTTCCATTTCAAGTGTTCATACTATGAGTACAATCGATAATGCTGCCAAAATGGTGTCAATGGTGTATAAAGATTGGGGGAATCTGAAGATTTGCAAAAGATAATGCAATTTGTAAAATAAACATGAGAAACAATGCCTGTTGGAGACTCTAAAGCAATCCACTGAGAATTGTGTGTGATTAGGAATCATGATATATGAACAGACTATGGGGAAAGTGAGTCATGGATGGTAGGAGGGAAGGAATACAGTGAAATTTCCTAGGAAAGGGCATATTTGACTAACTTGAAAAAAATAATCATTTCATCATAGGCCCCGCTTATAGCAGGTGCAGATCTGCTTTGGAGGCAGATGTTTGAAGCAAATGGCTCTTTGAATCTTGATTGTTCTAGGTAGGTAGTATGGCACACAATTATGTTGGTGTAATTGGCCTGTTCTTGATATGCAGCGATATTTATCTGTCTTAAATTCTCCCTCTCCACTTTATTTTATCCCTTTCAGAGATGCATCTCAATTCTACCTTGTGTGAATGCCTGTGTGTTGATTCCAACTATGTAGAATTCACAGCCTGCTGGTCTCTCTCTGTGTGTATGTATACATACATACATACATACATACATACATACATGTATATATGTATATATGTATATATACGTATATGTAGATAGATAGATATAGATAGATAGATAGAATATGTGATTTCAATATAGTTGAAGGTATGCATTGCTTTTCTTTCATTGAGAAAAAAGTTAAAATGAGTTTTCAGTTAGGAAGCAAGCAGTTGTAAAGCAATGCAACATAGAACAGGGAAACTGAATTGGGCGGGGAAGATAACTATGAAGAAAATGAATATGAAGAATATTATAAGTAGTTGCTTGCTAGCAAGATGGGTAGTATATAAATTTAATAAACAAATACTATAAAGTAGAAAATGAATTAGATCTGCATTTTCTTCTAAATATATTTTTATTTATTTTTATTTATTTATATCCTGCCTTTATTATTTTTACAAATAACTTAAGACAGTGAACATATCCTCCTATTTTCCCCATGTGAAACAATATCCAGTTTTTAATCAAACCCTCTTGCCTTGCGCTGCTCAGTCTCTGAGGTTCACAATGTGATGTGTTCAAAATGTGAACCAAAGGTTTAAAGCCAGATTGATGTAATGATTTTGCATCAACAGGTCAGTGTAGATCCTTGGTGACTAGATAGACAGATCTTCTCTGGGATGATGAGTCTCTCCAAAGTGGCCCTTAAGGTCTCCCAACAGTACAGCCATTGTAGCTGCATTTGAGTCCATCCATCTTGCTCCTGGTTCTTCTTTTCTTCCCTTTTGTTCTAACTTAAATATGAGCCAATAGTGGGTGGCAGCAGCCAAAAAAAGCCAACACAATCCTAAGCGGCATTAATAGAGGGATAGAACAAAGATCACATGAAGTTACAAAGCCTTACTAAGACCACACTTGGAATACTGCATCCAGTTCTGGTCACCACAATTTAAAAATGATATTGAGATTCTGGAAAGAGTGCAAAGAAGAGCCACAAGAATGATTAAGGGCCTGGAGGCTAAAACATATGTAGAACAGTTACAGGAATTGTCTAGTCAAAAGAAGGACTGGGGGAGAGATGATAGCAGTCTTCCAATATTTGAGGGGCTCCTACAAAGGCAAGGAGGGGTCAAACTATTTGCATCAAAAGGCAAGATGAGAAAAAATGGATGGAAATTAACTAAGGAGAGAAGAAACCTAGAACTATGGAGAAATTTCCTGATGGTGAGAACAATAAACCAGTGGGACAGCTTGCCTTCAGAAGTTCTGGATGCTCCATCACTGGAGGCTTTTAAAAAGAGACTGGACAGCCATTGGTCTGAAATGGTATAGAATTCCAAGGTCCCTTCCAACTCTATTATTCTATGTTCTGTGTTCTAACTTTCCTAGCATTAGTGACCTCTCAAGAAATCTGGAGTTTTACATTATGATTCCAAAATATGATAATATGAGCCTGGCCATTTGGGCCTTGAATAATAACACTGGACTGATTGCTTTACAATCCATTCATTTATTGTCTTATCTGTCTATTGTAATCTCAAGAAGTATATCTCTCTGTCATGGCATCTGAATATCTTTCAAGGCCTTCACAACTAAAGTACTAGTCTGCAGCCTGTTTCTTCACTCCAGGTTCCTTTAGTGATGATAGCGGATTCCTCCCAAAGCAAAAACTATCCATCATTTCAAGATCTTCATTATGAGCTCTGGTTGCTGTCTCTGTTGTTATAAATTTGGTGTTCCTTATATTTAATCACAGTCACACTTTTGCTGTGCTCCTCAG